TTGCCGTTGTGTTGCAGATCAGAACGTCACGTGTTGTCGTCTTGTAATTAGTCACGGCATGGCATGAACGCAGTATCAGCTTCATTGCTTCTTATACAGTCACATTAAACAAAGGCAGTCATTCTGCATGCCAAGCCAACTATTACATAACATGCAGGATTCTAATTTAATTTAGAAGGGATTGCATAATTATAATGGGGAGGTCTTGCGTGTTTTACATTGAAATCAACAGAAAAGAGGACAGCATAAGATTAGCATTGAAGGCACCAAAGGGGTTTGATCTTAAACTGTAAATGACCATGCTGTTGGAGGCCTGAAAGCTCTCAGTAAGTAACAGTGGCAGAGAGAGTTGGTACTATACTCATGCCAGCACACATCAAACAGACACTTTGCCCTGCAGCTCAGCTTGATACGAGAAGATAAATCCAAACTTATCCTTCTGTCTGCACATAGAAAGTGATCTGTTCTCTCTCACAGTCCAGAGAGACTCCTGACCACTGCGGGTGAGTAGTGATGGCAGCACTAACCGTGAACTGCTGAAAGCCTCGTTCAAACGACCCAATAATGCAGTCCGCATTCGGGTTTAGGGCCCACTGTGCTTTCCAACAGGGTAAAGAATTTGCCCTCAGGTATCAATAATACCTTCCTGTTTGCTTATTTTTCTGTCAATATGAACAGTTTCATGCTTTTTTATTTCGTCTGTATATGAGCAGAATCAACAAACCAATATTGATTTGAGTTGTAATGCCTGAATTAATATTGGCATGTCAGTCAAATTAAAGGAATAGTTCACTTTCAAATGAAAATTAGCCCATGATTTACTCACCCTCAAGCCATCCTAGGTGTATATGACTTTCTTCTCTCAGACGAATACAATCAGACTTATATTAAAAAATATCCTGGCTCTTCCAAGATTTATAACGGCAGTGGATTGCAACAACATATTGAAGCTCAAAAACGTGCATCTATCCGTCATAAACGAACTTTACGCGGCTCCGGAGGGGTTAATAAAGGCCTTCTGAATGACGTTTGAATGACAATGAGTTTGTGTAAGAAGAATATTCATATTTAAAACTTTATAAAGTAAAATAACTAGCTTCCGGCCAAACAAACATACGGATTGCACTTAAGTGTAAAACGCAACTTATGCGAGTAATGTGACGTACTGCTGTATTTACGCTACGCCATGACGCACTACACGACTTCCTACATCACAAGGCACAAGTAGAGACTGCGTATGGCCGTTTGGCCGGAAGCTACAATTTTACTTTGTAACGTATTAAATATGAATATTTTTCTTACACAAACTAATCATTTTGCTTCAGAAGGCGTTTATTAACCCCTCCGGAGCCGTGTGAAGTTCGTTTATGACGGATAGATCCACGTTTTTGAGCTTCAATCTGTTGGTTGCAATCCACTGCCATAATAAATCTTGGAAGAGCAAGGATATTTTTTTAATATAACTCCGATTGTATTCGTCTGAGAAAGGAAAGTCATATACACCTAGGATGACTTGAGGGTGAGTAAATCATGGGGTGATTTTCCTTTGAAAGTGAACTACTCCTTTAAATCCTGCCATTTCATATTTTTTTAAGCTACTCTCTAAAGCAATACTTTCTTGGACACACTTCAAGGCTGTCATTCAAATTGCATCTTATGCTTCCATGCGAGAGCTGTGAGCAGATTGTCAAATTGTCTGAGACATTTTGTGTTATTTAATAAGTTTTGAGCAACTGGTGCAGCAGAGAGTTCAGTGGATGTGAAGATCTCCTCAGTTTCACACAGGTGTCCTGACAGAGGAAGATCATCATTTCCATCCACCTATTTTTAGGCGCATTTTGGGATATCGCATAAAAAAACTGCTGGATGGAAACGCTGCTTTATTCGCAAATGTTTTATGCGATATTCCAATTTTGTGCATAAGTTAAATTGGCAACTTTGTATGGAAACATAGCTACTTTGACTATGGACATGTTTGACTACAAGAAAGTGACACATTTTGACAGTTTGCCTTTACAGGATAGAAAGTGGAGAACATGGAAAGAGATGGAATGTGATAATAATATTATTATTTTTTTTTTTAATGAAAGTCTGTGTCTGGAACAATGGTAAACAATAAAAAAGGCCTATTTGAAAAGTAGCAAAAATAAATTATGAATGCATGGTCCAATACAGTTTGAATGTGTCCTTTAGTATCTAGGCCTATATAAATTTGAATCTGTTTTTAAAGGATTCAATCCATGGGACATGAAAGTGTCTGTGTTAAGTGTCTACTGCTTGGAGTTGCACACTTGATTACAAAATAATCACACACAGGTGGAATGAAACGTAACATAACCAGGCAATGAATCATGGGAAATGCAGTTCATTATAAGATTAAGGAGACGGGAGGAGTGCCCTCTGGTGGCCATCGTCGGCACTCTGACAGACGTGACAGTCCCCCATGGCCATAGTCAATAGTTTTATCCCTTAAAACTCATCTTTGATCACCAATATGACATATTTAAACGTTTTCTTCTTGAAAAAAAATCTTCATGCCTTAAAATAGCTTGAATGTAACTCTACACCCTTGCCTCATTTAGTATACGCGGTTCTATGAATATGCAAATGAGCCCCGCCTCCACTCACTCACTCACTCAGAGATCCACTGGTTGACGATCACACGTTGATTTGATTGGTTACAAGGTAGTTTGTGACGTCAGAAACACCAGCGATTTCAAACCGTGTTTTTGAGACGGTCTTTGGTTCACTGCAGTTTTAAGGAGAAAATACTCAGCAATGCTGTCGACTTATGAATTTACACATGGTTTGACTTAAAGCAAATTAAAAACACCACAAAGACATTAAAAGCTTGAATTTCACCACAGGGGAACTTTAAAGAAACAACCATGTATAAAAATAAGTAATCCTAAAAAGGCTCAAAACAAACTTAAGGTGCAATTGTGCACTCTTCATGTTCTAATACAGGGCTCTGCTGTTCAGAACTGGTTGGTTGAGACTCAACAAATCCTGACTGCACCGCCACTGTACAAGGAGGGAACATCTCTAAAATCGACAAAAAGATGACTTGACTATACATTGACGTTTTGTTCAATAACAAAAATGACAAAAAGTCAAAGCATGGGTCAAGTTATGTTTACCACAGGCTTTTTTTTAAACACATAAATCAAAAACCCCATTGAAAAATCTCAAAGGAACCAGCTGCAAATTTTTGGATTGCTAAAGCAATCAAATCTCTTCAGAACATTTTGGACTAAGCCACTCAATTCATATGGATTAATTTTACGATCTCTTTATCAACTTTTTGAAGCGTCAGTTGCCTAGACTGTCAATGGAGGGACAGAAAGCTCTCAGAAAGATCTTCATTTGTGTTCTGAAGATGAACGAAAGTCCTACAGGTTTGGAAAGACATGAGGGTGAGTAATTACTGACAGAATGTTAATATTTTGGGTGAACTAACCCTTTTGGGAATCAGTTCAGATTGCCCAATGGTTCCTAAAGAAACAAACAACTGTTAGTTCAGATGTTTTTTCTAATGGCTGGTAAAGCTTGATGAGTCGTGATGAATGTTTATCACATCAAACTGTGGTCCAAAACTTCAAGAAAGAATTCACATGATGGTTCTACATCTGTGCTGAGCAGGACCAGCTTTCTCATAGCAATCCACAGGTCAGCCACAGGTTCCTGCAGGGCAAAAGCTCATTCATCAACACACTCTCCAGCCACTTGGCCATGTCACTTCTCCTCTCAAGCCCCGATTTCTGCTCTTGACCCTGAGTGTTAATGCTTCTGTTATCAAGAGCAGGGCAGATTTGAGGCCTGAAAGCCAACGAAGAGACACTCATTAACTCTCCGAAGTGTCGACACACACCGCAGTCACATGCTGGACGGTTGTTCAGGTCAGGTCACAAAGTGTTGAGGTGCGTAGCCCAGCCTAACTTTTCTCATGATGTTACCAGCAGTAACATCTCGCTTATGCCACTGTTGTTGTTGTTGTTGTTGTTTTTATACAGTTACATTCATTAAATATTTCATGCATTTCTGCCTGTTTGTTTGAACCCCTTTGATCTAAATATTGTACAGATCTTGTGGTCTCGAGGGCTTGATTCTGGACACTTTATTTCAGTAAATGGAAACGATTTAATTTCAGGGGGGAACGAAGGGGTACAGATACTTTTGCAATGCACTGTATTTAAAATCCCCATTCCCGTTTTGTTTCGAGAAAACCCTTCTCACAGAATCATGTAATGCGCATGACAGCCGCTAGAGGGCAAACTTACAACGCGTTTCTGTCACTATCGTTTTTAAACAGGTGACAGTAATAACTTTACAGTCTCATGATAATTTGTAGCTATTCTACGTTTTGGCGAATTTGTGGCCAATTCGTCTGAATTTAAGCAGTACAGAGAAATATTAGTGTGATAAACAGGATCATGTATGGCGAACACCACTTCATTGAACCAGTTTTGTGATGTATACATCAGACTATATGACAGTTGTGAAGGATTAAACATTTAAACTGATTTATTTCTATTGCTTTTAAGAGAACATATTGACAAATAATCGGTTTCTCATTGGTAGCAGGATTATTCTGAAAAGGTTGCCATCTCATGAAATGCATTTTAACATTTCATATTTATGAAATGTGAACAGTTATACACTACTGATCAAGTTTAGGGTCAATAAGAAATACTTTAATTCTGCAAGTGACAGTAAAGACCTATTACAAAAACTTTCTTACAAAAAAACACTTTTTGCTTTCTATTATTCAAAGAATGCTAAATATCAAAAATGGCATTTTTTCAATTATACATTTTTTCACTCAATGATAGCAGGATTAATTTGACAACTTTTATCATCTTGACTTGCATTCTAACATTTCAAATTATTTTCAAGTTAAACATACATTAAGTTAATTATTTGCGGTTATGAATTTCAACAACTCACACGTAGGCCCATTCAGCAGCTCTATGAAGAAAACACTCGATACAGCCAAAACAAACCTTTGTTTAAAATCACTTTTATTTCAAGATTTTTAAATTCATACAGATCGTAAGGCGTCTGCACAAAGAACAGTTTCTGCAGAGGTTTAAAAAAAAAATCACTTCCCTCAGATGGTGGACGGGGTTTCAAACAAGGTTTGATATAGATGTTGTTGTTTTTTTGGTGTCTTCCCTTCCCCCTCCCCCCCTCCTTAATTTTTTTTAAATTTCTCAATAATCTTAAATTACAGCTATTATATAATTTCATACTCTTGATTTCTTACAGCAGTCAGACAAAGTGAGAGCGATGACGGAGGAAACAGTGTTTAAAATCCATTAAATATGTACATAGAGGCTTCACATCACACACACACACACATGGCAGGCTAAACAGTACTATGAGGGGAGCACAGCATGTGTTGATGCATCTATTTACAGGTCCCTAAACTTACTACACGATGACACTACGTTCTCTCTTACGGGGAGGCGTCGGAGGAGAATCAATGTTTTTTTTGTTTTTTTTACCTTTGCATTTCATTTCCAGTGGGGTGTTTTTGAATAAAAGGGTGGTTCTGATGAGAATTAAGTCCTAAAACCTTAAATAACATCACACATACACACTCTCCCAACCCTGACCCATCCGTGACGCAGGGCCAGTGAAGGTCTGCATGCATTGAACTACACTGTGATCCAGGACGGGTTTCAAACCGGACCCTAGACGAGCATTCGTACTACGACCCTGATTTGAACTCGCAGGACGCCACATAGGGGACGAGGTGTGCGTGATAAACATGAGAAGGGACGGGGTTTGAGTGAGAGGAACTGACATCGTGCGTCTCCGGGGTTGGCCCAGGCTACTTGGACACGTTGATCCGGAAGGTGACCCGGCCCATGAACTTGTCGCGCTCGTCGTTGTTGATCAGGTCGGATCCCTCCACCTTGCACTCGATGACGAGCTCAGAGTTGTAGTCTTCCTCAGCCAGCAGAAGCTTCACGGCTACAACGGGCTGGACATAGCTCGCCTGGGGAGGAAACCACAAAAGTTAGAGAAATGATTATGGTAAGAAACTCCGCAATAATTAAAGCAACACCAAGTAACTTTTCCTCTGCGGTCACCCTACAGGCTGGAAGCGGAATTGTCCATTACCGCGTTGTAAATAATTTAGCCTACTGTCGCGCGCCTCTGTTTATCCAGCACCGGCTTTGGAATGAATGATGTTCACTGACAAGGTAGAGTATGATGCATGATTTCATGAAAGTATGATGTATTGTGACATCAGAAACGAGGAAAAACAAAATAACGACTATTGTAACGTTTGTCGTAAAGCAAGTCAAATTTGTAGTTTTCTTATGTCTCATTAGAACTACAGAAACGCGACCCGATCTGGCAATCTTACACAGCGTGGTTATAGCAGATATAGGACCGCAAAGCGAATCCAGAAGTGCCTTTCACCCTGTTACGACTTAATGAACCACTGAAACCATTTTGGAAACATTATTTTAAGGTAAAAAAATCTTACTTAGTGTTGCTTTAAATATGGACACCAATAATATATATATTTTTTAGACAAACGAATATATATTTTTTATATTCTAGACAAACTTTCCTAGAACTTGAACAGATCCAGAACTTGTTCTTGTGTCCGATCACGCAAAGAAGATGCGATTAAATATCTAATACAGTGTTCGTAGAAAACTTGTTTCTCAATATTATTTTCCGACCCTTGACTATTGTGATGTTGTTCTTCAAACGCCATCAAATTAGATCTCGTTTGGCTTAACACGGCGTATAATAATCTTTGCAGAATCATTTTGGGATTTTCTTTTCTTACTCCCTGTATAATGCATGATGCACTCCAGTGGTCATAGAAGACGTCCATATCATTACTTTAATTATCCCAGTCATCCAAAACAATACTTTGTACCTTTTTCTTTAAATCGCCAAGTTAGGCATTCTTCCCAGACGCATTTCCTTGTTCCTCATACATTTAAAGCCCAAATAGACTGGAATAATTTCCCTGCAGACATTATACATCATTTCAGTTGTTTAAACAATCTTTGTCATCTTATTTTACGATTTTTTTTATTGTTTTTTTTTTTAATTTATTGTTATATACTTGATGTTCATTTACACTTGTATTCACTGATCATTATATTTTGTTGTGCATTTATTATTGACTATTCTGGTAACTTGGTGGTGTAATATTTTTCAGTATTGTTTTGTTGTTTGTTTATGGATTGATGATTGTATTTTTTGTTTTGTTTCTGTTATTGCGTTGTGATTGTGTTGCGTTGTGTGTTAGGACCCCCTTGGAAATGAGACTGTACATCTCAAGGGGGTAATCCTAATAAATAAACAAAAATATAAATATAAGAATTTAGTCTGATATGTGTAAAATGTGTATCATTTTTTTTTCTTTTTTAAATATTTGGGTTTAATACTTAAAAATGACTTCTCCCATTAACAGCACAAATCAAAATACCAATCATTAAAAAAATATTTTATTTTAATTGTTTATTTTATTTATTTTCTGTACATAGAATATAGGCCTACATAAATTCCACTTTAAAATTTAAATACTTTTAAATATATATTTCCTATATCAACTATACAAAGAATACATTTTTCCAATTTAAACAAAAAATTAAATATAAATATGACAATTATATACATTTCTACATATAAAATATACATGTATATAATATTAAAAATATATACACACATTTCTACACAAGAATATTTTAAAATAAATATTGTAAGTATATTTTAATGTTTAATACATAAAACAAATTTTTTTACGTCTCACATTAAAGGCGCAATCAGACCAGTTCATTAAAAATTAATTGTACATTACATATTTTTTATACGTCTATATTTCATATATTACATTTTAAAACGCATTTTAAATATTTATTTTAGATGAAAGATGTATACATTTTCTATACATCAAATAATTCATTTTCATACATAAAATTCACAAATAATATATTTTTTTAAATATGCTAAATATATAAAATATATTTTAATATACGTCATATTTTCACATTATTCTGACGACAGTCACCACTATATTGTGCATCTCCACATTTAAACACTGTGATCTTGCTGCATTGTACTCACATGCAGTTTCTTGCCGTAATAGGGGTAGTAGCTCTTGTCCAGCACGCCCTCGGGGGGGAAATACTGCATCTGCAGGGGGGTTTCTCTCTGCACCTGGAGACACCACGGCAAAGCGTGAGATCACACTGCTGCACTTCACGGACAATACGTGTCATGTGACTCTTGAGCAGTTGCCAGTAGCAACAGACTGCCCTCACATCACTCAAACTGATGACGAGGAAAAATAACACCCCCTTCAAATGCACAAAGACATCAGATATTTCATAAAGCATGTTACACACACACACAGAGAACAGCCTTTCATACAATACAGACAGGATTTTGCATCATGTACTGTATATGAACGCATGAATCCACAACTCTGTTCGCAGTCCATCACAGTCTATATCCAGCAGTAGCAGGAAGCAACAAACTGTTTCAGGAACAGTTGTAAGGTTCTGATCCTAATGTGCATTCAGTAACCGGTCCATCTTTCATTAGGTGAACCGAATGAGATGATATGCTGGAAGCTTTTGAAATGGCTGTGTATCTAGAGAAAGGTCAAAGTGACGCATGCTTGCAGACAGCGGAAGTCCAACCAAAAAGAAGATCATAAAAACACTAAAAGAAGGCGTTTAAGTCAGTCGTTTTAAAGCATCAAAAGACTACAGGACCATGATTCATGATTTAATAATCAAATTCAAATAAAGAATGTAATTATTAAGAATCAAGCTCAAAAGCTCAAAAAGTGCAGCGTTTCATTCGTTGCTTTCACACAAACCGTCTTTGCTGGAAATATAACGCAAACTAGAAAATGTTACAGAAGTTCACTTTACTCCCGTTCGATACGATTTATGTAAGAATAATCGGTCTACAATTTATGAATGACCACTACTGTGCATTCACTAGATTTCCACAATAGCTGTTTTAATGCAATTTTGATAAGGGGTGGTATCAAAATGTGTAAAAAAAACACCAAACAGTTGCTTGTGCGCGAACAGATGTGGTATTATCACTGGAAAAGTTAACACCAAAAACGCCACTTTCTTGTGTGAAAGTCCCACTGAAACATTGCAAGGACTATTTGTGGAAGTTAGTTTAGTAAGTAATGGCAAGAGAGAAACAGCAGAATCCATCAGCAGAATTTTGCAAAAGCGTTAAGAGGACAGCGAGTTCCTGAAGGAGCGGAGAGCACTTCCTTGCGTCCGCTGTATACCTTCAAGGCTCACACGGGTGAGAGCTCTCAGAGAAGTCATGAGGGACAAGAATGACTAAGTGATAAGGCCAGTAAAGAGGTTCTCACGGGAGTCGAGTCAAAAACATGGCAGGTCTGATAGGAACGGCTCACATCTGCAGCGAAGAACTACGCCAAGGAAGCAAACAAGTGTTTGAAATGGGTCCAACATTGCATAACTCGTGCCTGATATCGGTTAGATGTTTGTGGACGTGTTCGTAAGAATTCGTAAGAGGTTTCTGAGGTCAAAAGGCAATGTTTTGCAAGGGGGGAAAAAAATATATTACTATGTCAATAAAATCAATTGGAATACCTGTTGAAACCATGAATTTGACCCAAACACGTTTCACTTATGTGTGGTAGATTCCTAATAGCAACTGTTTACACCTGATATGGTGATCCAAAAATAAGTGCTAAATAAGCACTTGTAAGCGTAAACATTAATGTGGCCTGAACAACCCTAAAGAGCCGTCATGTTTACAAGGTAACAGGCTATCACGGTGAGTAGTGATGATTTTGCCTGGTTCACTGCATCAAATCTGAACTAAATCACAGGATTTTTTGAGTTTGGTGTGAGCACTTAGTAGCAAGTAGACAGGATATTGTCAATGTAAAACAAACTGTTTGTTCATTTACATGTCATAAGTTGCTCCCTTCCTTATACAAGTTGGTCCTTTCTGACCAGAATACGATGTCAAGAGTAGCAGACCTTCTGCTAATAGTCCTTAATATGCTCGTTGCGTAGCCATACCTTGGACCAGGGGTGTCTAATCCTACTGGAGGACCACCTTTCAGTAGAGTTGATCAAATAAGCATCCCTGAAACATCTAATCAAGGGCTTTAGGATCACTAGAAACTCCCAGGCAGGAGCTGAACTCTCGTGGAGCATGATGGGACACCCCTGGTCCAAAGTATGGCCAAGCAAGACCACCTAACATGCTACCCTTCCACCGAAAAAGGGTTGCCTGCTAAGTTAACGCTAAAAGAAACCAACTGACAGATTGGAAATGTCTTCACTATGCCCGAAAATGAACACGCAATGACGCACACCCTTAGTTTAAAGGCATTCCACAATTTGCATGTTAATGCTAGATATATACAGAAATCTTGTGATTGAATTATTCGAATCCGATGTTAATATCAGGAATAAACAGGGGGGCCTATGGTGAGGAAGGACCCACCGCTAAGGTTGTTCTACCAAGACACTACGCATTTCATTCTCAATGGCTGGGAGATCTGAAGGTATACATCATTTCTAGAAAGAGGGCAGTTAAAAGCACCATAGACAAAGCAGTACAGGAGAGAGGCAGCAAAGAGATGGAAAAGGCCCGGGACAAGGGCCTTGGAGAAACAATGGGGGGAGGGAGGGAGGGCCCGACATCTTACCCACCATTAATACTGCTGGCCCTATAGGCAGCGTGGAGAGAGACCAGATACAAACAGATGTGTGAAAACCCAAGATGGAAACAAGCACAATAATTCAGACTCGCACCATCATGATACACTCATCCTGACGTCGTCACCACTGTGATTCTGCCAAATAAGACATGTTCCTGGGTCAACTTATTTTGTTGATCATGGAACAACTTTTCTGTCTGAAAAATTAAGCCTCATCCATATCCCTACCCCTAAATCTAACCCGACCCATAACTTCTCCCTAAAACCAGAGGGAAATGATAGGTGAATGACACTGATGTAGAAGCACATAACCCTGGTTGTAAGCCTAAACTTGACAAACTGTAAACTTGTCCCTCAAATCTGATTGGTTGATTGGAATGTTGATCCACGAACATGTTGTACTTGGTGAAATCACGTTACACCTAACATTGTACACATTTAAGCTAGAACACAATGTGTGATGTGGGGATTACCTTGGCTGCGCAGTTGATACGTGGGTCTCCTTTTGGCCTAAGCCCAATCACCTGCAAAGGATAAGGAACATATACACTGAACAAACATCCTTAGATAACGATCCGACTAATTCCACAACAGCATAACGCTTCAGTTGACGAACAAATGAAACGCAGACATTTATAAACAAGCCTGGTCTCTCATCTTTCAAAGGTGAATGTTGTGTTGTAATTGCATCTCAGAAATTCAACAAAGGCCTATCTGGAAGTTGTCCATGCATGTAGCCTGGGAAAACCCAGACAACTTCCGGCAAATTTAGATTTGCTCTGAAAGTTAGTCTGGCAAAGAGCTCATTCAAGCCCATTTCCAATCCGTCGAAATCGAGGCACCAATCAGAGACGTTGGGGCGGGCTTTACACGATGACGACAGCGCTGGGATTTTGAAGCAGATTTTGTAGCCTACATTACAAAGATGGATGCCGCCGTCGAACATCACTCGTTTGAATCAGCTATCGCGTCTGTTTTAAGCGATTTGAACGTTTCCTTTTTGTTAAAAACCGAGCAAAGAACAACACTCGGAGATGTTTCTCCGCCGCTCTGCATACGTCATCTCCATCGCTCTGATTGGGTTTAGGTCTATCCGCGACGTCCGTTGGTGACGCCCCTCTGGAAATGATTTGTCTATGACGCTTTGCCAGACCATAACTCAGTTACAACTGAGAATGGTCTGGTTTTAACCAGGCTACCATGCATGAGCACCATGGCTCAATTTGTCTGGAGTACATATGTGATGCGATCTGGGAAAACCCGTCGGATGTCGCGCTGGTACGTTTTCAGTAAGGTCTAAAAATAGGTTGAATGTCAGTTTTTTGGTCAAAATTGGGTTTTTCATAAATTCTATAACATCTTGTCTATCATCTCTGAATATATCTTGGCAAAATTCACTAGTTTAGTGCGGAAAAATAGCGATTTATAGTGGCAAGCTGAAAAGAAAAGACTGTCTTTCTCTTTAAGAACACGAACGGCAGAGATAAAAAAAAAAAAAAAAGAAGCCCACTCTCCATTACAAAGACAGTTCACATATCAAAATAAACCACTCAACATCTAGAATAAAGGCATATCAATGCGCATTTCCCGCCAGTCCTGTGTAAACCTCAACGGCACGCAAGTTTTCAGCCGACTTCAGATAACCATAACTTTTCTTACCGACAAACGATGAAAGAAATAACAGATTTGGAAAGGGCTTGAAACCAGCTTTAATATGGTATCAAAATACTGTAATAGGTAAAATGTCACCATGTGATGGGTTTTCCCAGATCGCATCACATATGCTAACAGCTAGCCTGCGGTTTCAAAAGTAGGTACCTTTTACTGGGGAGCGCGTAAAAACATGCGACTCACTCGATTCATCTTGACTAGGATGCATGGCTGGCCCTCTGAATAACCAAAAGTGCTATCAGCCAGTCCAGAGCACTGTCGTAGAGAACTTCTCTTGAACTGGCAGGCCTTCTTCTCCACAGCAACATCATCACCTTGCTCAAAGTAGTCCCCCTTGGTACAGATCTCGTTCCTATCCTGCAGGGAGTCATTGTACTCTGAAGTAACAAACGAGAGAGAACAGATAGTGAGATAAAGGTGTTGAGCTGAAAATCGTCAGCAGTAGTTTGATACACTTGTGTGGTTGGGAGACATTTTTTCTTGTCTACAAGTGTGGCCAATTTGGTAGTCTTTGAATGCTCCAAATAAGAGCTTAAATAAAAGCCCCCAAAATGGTTCGAGAAGTGCAACATTCCTGTTTGATATGTCCAGTGGAGGAAGGACATATCAAAAGCTGTACTGCTCTTTAAATAGCTAATAGTTTTAGTTTAAAATCAAGGTCAGAATTGGGACATTTCTACTTGAGATCAACTCCAACAGGAGGGAAAACGGCATAAGAAAAATAATTGGTTGTCTTTAGCACCCAGTAGACGCTACATTTGATGAGGAAATAACTTTATGACTGTTAAAGGCATGTTCTATATGGTAATGAAATCCAGACATACTACATCCGCCATGTTGGCTTTGTCATGTGACCTACGGCCCTTCACAACTCCTCTCCTTTGGTCTTAAGGGATAGTAAAATGTTCCACAGTTCAGAATCTCGCCAGAAGGAGGAGGTCATCCGGGTACTTTTCGCCTATGGTTTTCTAAATACTATAAACTTCTATGAATACTCATGTCAAACCTACTACTCATTTACCCTGCCTACACTATATAGTAGGGAAGTAGGCATATTCGAATGCAGGGCATGTTTTACACACCCGTTTCTGCACATATTTTCGAAACAGGTTGTAACAATGTAATGGAGGAACTTATTGACTTTTAGTTCTCAAATTAATGTGATGTTTGTCATTATCCACTGAGTTGGGTGCTGCTCATCTTGACTAAAAATCACAGTTGTGGATTTCCAAAAGAGTATACAAGTTGGAATTGCGAGAGGTGATCTTTGCACTTTTCCAAGAAGCAAGCAAGCGAATTATACATAGCATCAGACAAACCACTGAACCATGATTTGCTATTGCTAATCAGTGGTAGGTGTATTTAGGGATGGACAAGTGTTTTATCGGACAAGAATGTCTAAATGCCTCTGAGCAGGAGATGATGTCATTTATATTTCTGGTCCATTTTCCCAGAGTAGAGACACTTTAACATCTAGATGACCTTAAAACTAATTGACTAAAAGCCACAAGACTCCAATTTTGATTGCATGGGGTCCTTAAATGAGTCACTCATGACTGCTGTATCTGATCATTAGTGATCTATTTAAGAAAGACTTTGGCTGCATGTCCGAAAGCTGAAAAAGGATGCCTTCGGCCACACTAGATTACGAGCATGCGAAATTTCTTCGGACACTGCAACGGTCGTGATATGACGTCACGGTCTGCAGAGTCTTATTTATGAACCTTTTTTTAAATCTACTCGACTTTACTGCAAAAATATTGTTGAATTAATTCAGCCAAAAGGTCTCGCCGTGATGTCGATCTTTTACTGGTCACACGTCTTCACGTGATGCGAATTCGCAGCTCAGTTCACCAAACTTGAACTTTTGAATGCAGCAAAATGCAAAACTTTTTGCATGAGCTTGCGTTTGAGGAAGTCAATGGAACGAAAAAACGCCCCTTTCGGAGCAAGGTATGAAGGCATCAAGGCACGTCCAAATCCAATGTTAGCTTCATTTCCTGCCTCCTGAGATACCGTCATCTGATTGATTTTTGAAGGCAGCATAGATGTATCCTTCACTGCCTTTGATATCCCACAATACTGCGCTTTGAATTCTGTTACAGTTGAGCTAAAAAAATTCTAGCGAGAAATGACTATTGTGGTAATTAAATATTTGCTTCGTTATCACCAAAGTTTGCTCTATTTTGTTGTAGATCATTAAACTGTTATTCTGCCTCAGAAGTCTGTCCGAAATCGGTTTCGTGAGGCACCTTCATGCGCAAACATTGCCTGACGACAAGTCCGCTACCAACGTTTCCGGATGCACCCTTTAAGTTCTACGTTCTCAAGTGTGGTGGTGATCGCATACAGCTGAGAACAATTTGTGCAAATTCAAGCACATTTAACCATCAGCAGTGGGAGTATTAAGAAGATCACATTCAAACCATCCAAACAGAGGCTACACAAGGGGGACATTATCTGAGAGATTTATGTATTGAGAAGCAAATCAAAAGAAATTGAAAACATTTCACTATTTAGGCCACTTCCTAATAGACCTTTTATATTATGGTGGATTTTAAGTCCTCTTATTGTCTTGCAAAATATCTGACTGCACCACCTCCTCCTGATTACCTAAGTGTAGCGGTTGCTTGTCCCAATATGACCTTGATGAGCAATAGTGTAACAAAAACACCCATGTAAGTAAACATGTCATTATTTTATCTAAAATGTGGCTGTATTAACAATATCCTCCTTATATGATTTGTTTCAAACATTTATTTTATCCACCCATTGCCTGCCATATGGATCATGTTTGCTGGTTCTGAACAGAGTTGGAGTCGTCTCTCATCTTCACAAGACTAGTGGCTCTGAACAGCTTCTTAGAGAAGACTGACCTGCTTAGTGCAGGAACCACGTCAAACCATTAAAATGGACAGCCTGGTTCTTGAACTAGCTGGAACAGGACCTAGGTCTAGTTTTGCTCTGGTTTTAGGTGTTATGAGATCTAGTTTGGTCTGGGTCTTAAATGGTCTAGGTATTGGAGAGGCCTGATAATGGTCACGGTCTTGGAAGGTCTGGTACTGGTTTGGGTTTTGGGCAGTCTGGTACTGGTCTGAGTCTCAGAGGATCTGGGGTGGGAGGGGGGGGGGGGGGGGGGGATTAGGGGGTTAAAGTATCCTCTGATTTATCTGGTTAGGATTCTGTATCACTTTATACCTTTACAAGGCAAATATGTAGAGAGGTAAGGTACTTAGAGCGTTGATACTCACGCTGCAGGAACGACTCCAGGTGCTGCACATACTTGTTGTATTGCTGGGGAATGGATCGGTTAAATCCAATTTCCAAGGACCTCGGCCTAATCATCAGCCCTAAGGACAAAATATGCCATGCAGATAAACATCATACAAATTTAATGCAGATTATAGCACATATATGTGCCCAAAACATTGATTCAATATGTGCATTCTTAGTGTGTTGACACATCTGCAATACTAGTCGGATTCCTTTCCCTTTTTACCTCCATGACTTTTCAAATACGTTTTCCAGTTAATGCCAATTTCTAGAAAACAATTACAAATAATGATATTCACTAACACATTTTAGAAGGGAGTTTAAGACCTTTGGTTTTAATTATTTCCGCTACTCCTTGAAATCTAAATTCCATGTGGGAATTTAAGACTTTTATGTCTTAAAAATATGTCCATATAAAAAAAAATGACAGAATAATATGCTTTCAAAATGATACAAACCTCCAAAAGACATCTGACTGTATGTGTGCTCATTGGGAAGTGTATGTCATTATTGTATCAGAACACCTCCGATTCGTAATCAATGCGCATTTGTGATCATTAGCACTCAAAATCTTGCTTGGAACATTAAATGCACTGATGATTGGAGACACTAACTGCAACTTGTCTGAAATGATGTCCAACTGTGTCTGTACCGAGAACATTCAGTTACTAAAAGATCTCGTGAAAGGTGGGGGGAGAAAAAAAAAAAGATCAGTGGGAGGAATAAATTGACACTTGGAGAAGGATGAATGATAGCGAGCGAGAGAGAGTGTCTCACTTGCCGGTTTAACAGCGCTCATAATTGAGAGCGAGGATGGATTTGGAGCGCTCTCATCGCAACCACTGTACACAAGTGTGTGGGGGCTGTACAGTGTACGACCGTATGTGTGTGCGTGTGTGTGTGAAAGAGAGAGAGAGAGTGTGTGTGGGAGGCTAATGGATGATGTGTGAAACACTGCTGAGACTGGTTTGTGTGTTCTGACTGTAATGGAGGTAATGGTAAAAATAGCACTGAATAAATCGCACCAGCTAAATGGCACCTCGAATGCAAATTCGGTCTGTTCCGTTACACTCAATGTCAAAAATTGTGTATATAGAAGGATTTATAAATCTCAAGTCATTTCAGAACCAGTAACTACGTGAGAAGATCAATAAGTCTTAAAGTCTTTGAATGTGTTATTAATCCACTCTGAAATATTTCAAGTATGAGAGAGAGAGTCTGACCATATCTTAGTACAGTATATACACACACACACAAAAAAAAAAAAAAAAAAAAAAAAAAAAAAAAAAAAGGAGTTTCACAGAAATGTGCAGCATTGCAAAATGATCAAACATGGTGTGATAGACCGTTTTACATGTGAGGCTTGCTGTGATACACAGATTTGCTTTAAGAGATTAAAATGCAGGTGTATACACAAGTAGATACAGTCTAGTGTCTTCGTCATCTACGGTTTTACGCAATAGAACGGATTTGGAAGCCCTCTACATTCCCCAATAAAACTTAATGTACAACCAACCGGTTATAAAGGTTACATATCATTTATACTTCTAATTAAACTGCACAGCATTATTAAAAAAAAACCAAGCCATTTTTTGTGTATGGCGATGTTCAGAATAGCATAACTACAGTCCTGCTTGCCTTTTATTTCAGCAGAATAAGTGCATTTCAAATCACACGCTCGCGATTCAATACCGATTTCGATAAATAATATATATATAAAAAAATAAATATAGATTTTGGGTTTATCAGGTACAGTACATGGTGATTTTTCTCAAGGGAAAAGGGCTTTTTTGAAATAAATGCAATGTTACGTTTTATATGTATGGAAGCTTGTTTAAGAATAAAGGTAATTGCGACTTTACATCTCACAATTGCGACTTTACATCTCACAATTGCGACTTTACATCTCACAATTGCGACTTTACATCTCACAATTGCGACTTTACATCTCACAATTGCGACTTTACATCTCACAATTGCGACTTTACATCTCACAATTGCGACTTTACATCTCACAATTGCGACTTTACATCTCACAATTGCGACTTTACATCTCACAATTGCGACTTTACATCTCACAATTGCGACTTTACATCTCACAATTGCGACTTTACATCTCACAATTGCGACTTTACATCTCACAATTGCGACTTTACATCTCACAATTGCGACTTTACATCTCACAATTGCGACTTTACATCTCACAATTGCGACTTTACATCTCACAATTGCGACTTTACATCTCACAATTGCGACTTTACATCTCACAATTGCGAGTTTACATCTCGCAATTCTGTCTTTATTTCTCAGAATTGCGTGTTATAAAGTCAGAATTGCGAGATATCAAGTCAGAATTGATTGATATAAAGTCGCAATTGCAGGTTTTAAAGTCAGAATTGCGAGATATAAAGTCAGAATTGATTGATATAAAGTCGCAATTGCGTGTTATAAAGTCAGAATTGTGAGAAACTATTCTGAGGGGAAAAAAATAGTATTTTTTCCCCCTTAGAATTGGCCTGATAACTCGCAATTGCGAGTTTATATCTCACAATTCTGAGAAAATATGTCAGAATTTCGAAATATAAACTTGCAATTATGTGTTATAAAGTCATAATTGCGAGATATAAAGTCATAATTGCGAGATATAAAGTCATAATTGCGAGATATAAAGTCATAATTGCGAGATATAAAGTCAGAATTGCGAGATATAAAGTCAGAATTGCGAGATATAAAGTCAGAATTGCGAGAAAAAAAAGGTCAGAATTTTGAGATAAAAAGTCGCAATTCTGTCTTTTTTTCTCGCAATTGCGACTATTTCTCATAATTGCGACTTTATATCTCACAATAGTGAGATAAAAAGTCGCAATTATTTTTTTTTATTCAGTGGCGGAAACAAGCTTCCAACGCTGTTTTATTGACATCTTTCTGTGGTTGACACACTGATTGATTGACTACATGGAGACATATTGCATTTTGGAAAGTTGTCAGCATTCCTTCTAATGTCCATTCATGTTTATTTCATGCTGTAACTAGTAGTAAAGAGGAAGAGATGATCGGTTCACATGCGCTTCATTGGAACTGAGGTGCAACAGGAGTCACGCCACATTAAAGAGCGCAGAACGGTATTTATCGTTTGAATTTCATTATAAAATGGACACATCAAAAGTAACAAAGGACAAAGCTTATTGCGGTTTGTTGGATGGGAGGCAAAATACAACTGAAAACAGCATAGACTAAAAGATCGATTCCTGCGGTTTAAGAATCAATATCGGTTCATAAAAATGAGAATCGGTTAAAAGTTTACAATATCTATTGATTGGTACCGCTTTGCATAATACATATTTTTCCAAAGGGGCTTAACAAAGAATAGTACCTTAATGCTGTGGGATTGTTACCTGGATTGGCCACTCGGTCCCTGTATCTGGGAGTGTGATCCTCCAGCGTCTGTAGCATCACCCACATGGTGAGACTAAACATCCCAGCCAGGAAGCCATAGAAGACCAGATAAAAGAGTAATATAAGACCTGCAGAGAGAAGACAGACACTTTCAAACACGGCAATTTCTTTCCCAAACCTATAAAGTATTGGGAATTTGTTCCCATGACTCTTTCCATGTAACGTCACATAACAAGCCCACTTGGAGCAACCGGTGGTCAGCACAAACACTGAACATTTAAGAGCGCGTCATCTGGAAAGCATCACATTTTATTTATGAGCGTGTGATAAACGTCGTAAAAAGAGCGGATTCACAAACATTCTGAATCATAAACGGAGCAAAGCGTCAGTTACTCCAGCGTCCAATCGGAGCTGAGGAATAAGCAGGGAAGAGCCTGTGTTTTTGACAAGTTCAGAGGTTCACACGCTCGCATGATGGCTTGGGGGTCTGAAACTAGTAGCACAACAGTGTGGATTAAACTAGTTCTGGCAGTTTGCACTCCCATGCATTGTAGCAAATGTCAGAAAAGAAGGGAGGATGGGGGGAGGGGCAATTGTAAAATGAGGAATGCAACAGCTGAATGCTTTAGAGAAAGGCCAAACATATCTGCTCGTTGTCAACAAGTGGAAGTGGAGAAATAATGAATGGTGGTTAATCTGGGAGAATCGTGTAAAGGGTGATTGGCACCCAGAAATGGTCAGGTCATATTTCACCTCAAAGCAAAGGGAAGAATATTTACACAAATTTATGGATTCTGCTATTGTAACTTTCTTCAAAACAATAGATGGGAGTGGATGTCTGGACCGGACGTTGGCTCAACCACTGGTGTGGCTTTGAGGTGGAAATATTAGCTAAATATGTATATAATGTAAATATTAATCAATCATGATTTGTTTGCAATTGAAAACCAGACTGTTTTTGGACATATACAACAATTCACAATTCAAGCTAGACCTGCAGGATAAATAGTTAAAAGATCGGGGTCTCGATTCAAACACCCACCCGATCTTATTCCTAAATGACAACAGTTGTCATGTATAGTTATGAAACAGCTTCACAAAATTTTCAACCACAGTGTTACATTAATTTAGATTATCACAGAAGTACTGGGATAAAAGTTTATAGTTCGGATAAAAACACTGATGTCTATGGAAGCGATCAAAATAGAGTAAGTCACCTTTTGAAAGTAACGTGACCCTTAAAATAAAAAGTTGTATGTTACATCGTTACACCAGTAGGTGGCGACTGCTAATAAAATGCATTTGTCATTGAATCATTCATTTTAAGAGATGCGTTCAAAAACACTGATTCATTCAGTTATGAAACAGGTCAAGTCTGAGTAAATCACTGAATGATTCATTTTAACCATTGTTTTTAATAATTCATTCAAATTAACTAAGCCAATATTTTTAGACCGACTGCAGCAATTAACAGTTTGTCCTTTTGAACCTAGTAAATTGCATGTTATTTTTTTAGTTGACTATTAAAATCATGGGATAATCGTGATCTCTCGTGAAATTGATTCTCAATTCTACGAATTACTTTAATGCAAAAAGTCTGTATAATTAGTTTAATGAGATGTAGTCACAATCATGATGTGCAGAAACAAGTAGAAGCAGTACAAAACTACAACAAATAAATATACTTAAAATTACTTATTTTATTTTGCATTAAAATAGGCTACCAAAAACTTGGGAGTGATATAAAAAAAAAAAAAAAAAAAAAAAAAAAAAAATTTATATATATATATATATATATATATATATATATATATATATATATATATATATATATATATATATATATATATATATATATATATATATATATATATATATATATATATATATATATATATATATATATATATAAAATTGTGAAATTTGCCCAGATATTGAAACTAAATGGATTGTTGAATTATTAAAAATGTAACTGTTTTTGGCCATTCTTACAAATTAAGCACAACAATTGTAGGGACATGACGACTCCATCTCTCACACGTTCAGAGAACAACCTACTGTAGTAATGACTAAACTACAGCCTGAGGGACACAGTCTACAGCACAGAGACTGAAACAAGCGTTAAAGACTCAAGAGAAGTCAACATGTTCACCTAGATGTTAATGCTAATTTTTTCTTCTTCTTTAAAACAGTATAAAAAGTATATAGACAGGCCAAGACAGAATCTCATGACTGTGTTTTCTGGGCTGAATTTTAGAGAAAATCTGCATAATCCTGTTAAATGGGTTCAAATTTATTTAGAGCTAAACACTAACAGTATTGGTTGCTGAAAGCATTATTAAACTAGCAAAAATCTATAATAAAATGTACATGAAAGAGGCAGAGTATTTGTAGAACTTTATGAATGCGTGTTTGATTTTCAGATTCAACGTGGACATGCATTTAAAATTACATAACAGAAAGAGTTGAAAATGGAAGAAAAAAATAAAACACTTTTTTTTAAAGCAGGATAGACCGGTGTTATTTTAGTATTACTGAAAAAATATGAATAATTAATAACTTTTTCCTTTTTGCATTTGTGCATTTTTTCTTAGTTGTTTAAATATGTCTACCGTTTTTATTCATTTTTATTTCAATTTTCTTTTAGTTATTTTAGAACATCAAGTTAAACTAAACAAAAATGAGAAATGTTTCTTTGGAAATTAGCTAAATCTAATTAATTTAATCATTTTAATATTTAACATTAATATTTCAAATGTAATATTTAAATTAACGTTTATTTGAGCAAACTTTAATAACCCTGCGGCAAACTTAACACAAACCTTACCAAAAGAGTACTGTGGTGATAGTATGGTACAGCATTTCAAATTCAATATAAACAATAGTACTGTTTAAATACCGTATTTATATACTGTGGCATTTTAAATGTACTCAAAGGTACTTCAAGGAACGCCACGTGAACTGGCCAGAACTCCCACAGTAGTGCCCCATCCAAACATGGACACACTATGGTATCTGTAGGTGTATGGACAGAGAATAACACGGGTCTGAGGTAAGGGAACAGAAATACTATTTGAAGAAAAGTAAAAGCAATATAAATAGCGAGATAAAAGGATAAAGGAGGGGAAGTGAAGGACAGTGTGTGTAAGAGCGTGAGAGAGAAGCTCAGTTTAATTATAGATGCATTTCTTCTTTGCAGATGTCTCTGAGGTAGACTCTTACTATAAATAGCATCTGGGGGAGGACAGTTTAGTGATGGCACAGCACTGGCCTAAGGAGATGCGCGCGCACACACACACACACACCACACACACGCATTCTGCTGCCTGTCATAATATTCCCCTGTTGAATCAGTCTTAAAGTGGGTACTAGCACGCATTTGCTACAAATGCAAATCAACGACCATAATTACATTTCTCCAAAGAATTGAAAATTCTACATTAGGGTTGATGAAATGACGCTCATTTAGTCGCCTGGGTAATAATGTCATAAAATGCATTTCATATGCAAGAAAAATATTATTTAAAAAAAACAATCTTATAAACAGAATGTTTCTAATTCAGAAAATGATGATTTGATTTTTTTTTTTTACTAGTAAGGTAATACAACTGTCTTGATTTCAGCAAAAAGTTACTAAAAGAATACAATTATTTTTTAAATAAAAAAAAAAATGTGATAAAAAGCTTCACTGCCTAATTCATATTTGACGAACTTCTCCCCCAAATCAAACCATTATGCAGAAACACAGAGGAAAAAATGTCAAAGTCAGTAAGTCGCTTAAAATATCAGATAATTCGGCCATTTTATGACAAGGAAAGGTTCGATGTAAAATATCATGTGGCATTACTCCCCTAGACTTGTGAATTAATAACAAAAACTAAACATTTTTAGCCTGAAAAATTAAAAAACTTATTTGAAAATAATAGTGTAACATATGCATATAAATATTTTACCCTTTCTCTTGATAGTTAGTTAGGCTACACCACATGACAATTGTTAGAGACATTAATTTTAAATATTTGTTAATTCTGGAAACGGTGCCAATGAAAATACTACCTTTTCTTGTATGTGTCACCTAAAAAGAGTTCCCCTGTCATAAAACACCTGCGCACCGCTACAATATGTCGGCTAGTTTCAGGAATGGGCCGAGGAAAGAGATATTAATCGGTCTTGGCTCTCATTAGATTCCCATTTGGCAGATATTACCCCAACATACGGCTGGGATGCTGAATGCTTCTGAACTTTGACCAGAGGCTGATGTGGGAAGGCTGAGGAGGGAGAGATTTTTTTGATTTTTCAAAATTACTTTTATTACAATAGAAAATACTAACCATTAAAACATTTTTTCACAGTTAATTATTTTTTTACAAACTTAAAACAAAACAACTCTCCGTTTACAACTGAACATAAGGCTTCTCTGTAACACCATATAGATTCAAACTTCAATAAATTATTCATTACTTTATAAAATCGAAAATCAACAACAATTCTAGATTTCACCATTACTTTAAACACCCGTACCACACCACTATCATTCCTTAGTTCATATGATTTCTCCTACTAATGTATATGGCCATTTTTGCTGTTCCAAGTACAAAGTTCAACAGCTGACATTCACCACTTCTACTTCTCACATATTTAAAACCACAAATTAAAGTCTGCACAGAAAACACTTCATTAAAACAATTACAAATTGTTTTTAACATGTCAAACAACGGCTTTAGCCTAAAACAATAAGCAAAACAGTGAAAAACACTGAGTGAGAGAGAGAGAGATAGAGATAGAGAGATAAATAGAGAGAGAGAGAGAGAGAGATGACGTCTCCTCAGTCAGTCAGAAGGGATATCAATACCGGAGCAGGATGACTGAGATCAGTAGCCAGTCATTGCTGTCAGGAAGCCACTCTCAGCTCATCACCACATCTCCATCTCCATTTCACTCTCACGCTTCAATCTATATCACTGCATCTCGGTCTAATGCCTCTTAGGTTTAGATCTGATCTCACCTGAGTCAATACTGGCACCACAGCCGACATGCCTTCAACAACACAGATCCACTACTCGAGTGTGTGCGATACTGTGGGCAGGAAACTTTCACCACTAACAAAATAGAAAAAAAGGAATGGACG